CTCAAGCTAGCTAGCGTGCATGGAAATGTTATGGATTTCAAGCTAGCAGATGGTCGGGGTACCATGCTTGGCTTCTCTGGAGTGTGAGGTGGCATCAGAGCCTATGAGCTGGGGTAGCCTGGTGATGTGCGAGTATGGTGGAGTGCTATGAGGCCTCCAGATAGCCTAATGCCACCTCCAGGGTGTCCACGCCGAGGTATTTCACAATATGCACACTGGTGGACGAACCCTCAGATAGGTATGAGATGGTCCATCTGGGTGCAGCCACTCAAAGGTGCACATAGAACGTTGCAGTGCTGCACCTTCTGCAGCTTGTTGGCACCCTGGCACTCCCAACTGTGACAGGTGCCTGCTGCATCATGTCAGCTTTTGCTGTCTTCCACTTGTGTGCAGCCACCTTTGTGCATTTCATCTGGTGCATCCTCTCTTTCTCCTGTCTTCCTTGATGAAGGCAGAGGAACTTGAATTGGCCCAGGATCTTGCTGAGACAATCTTAAATGTGCAGGAGGCTTGCAATCAGGGACCTTGAGATCTCGCTCTTCTAAACAATAATGATATAAACTCATACAAGTAGCCAAGATATTGTATAATGCAAAGATGCGCCGGCAATACCAGTATTACAATGATTTTCTTGTTTGTATGAAGCTTGAGTTTCTGAGCAAATTTATTGGCAATCTACATTTATATTACATCTCAAAGCATGTATTTATAATATATACTACAGAAGCAAACCATTTACATGCTGTATATAACTGTGTGTCTATGCGTGGCAGCCGTGGAACTGTTGACAAGGTCAATCCACAGCACCTGCCTAATTGGGATGCAAGCTGCGGCCAAGCCCAAGCTGAGCCACTAGCTTATGGCTTGCGGTGGCATGCAGCTTGAGTTGGGCTTTTGCAAGCCCAAGCTTGGAGAAGCTGAGCCAAAGCCGTCATATTCTAGGCCAAGCTAAGCCAGATAAACCACTACTTTTGATCAGTCCGTGACTGGTCCTGACTGGTCATGACCAGTCCTAAGGTATCCGAGGCCATCTGGGACCAAGGACTGTGACCAAGACCGGACTGATGTAGGACTGGACTGTACCCAGTCCTAATCAGTCTGGTCTCAGTCTGAGTCCCAGTCCCAACCGGTCCTTAGGACCGGACCCTCAACCACTAGTCTTACTGATCTGTGTCACCTGCACAGAGTGGTAAGCACAGTTTTTTTCTTGAGAAAACTCAGGCAAAAGCGGCTAAACAAGGCCCAGTTATTCCTTGATTCTACACCGATGCAAACTGAGGAGAAACTGGTGCAAAACCAGCCAAAATGGTCTAAAACACAGTAAAACTGGCGGAAAACTGAGTTTTGCCTTCAGTTTTTTTCAGGTGAAAACCGGAGAAAGTTGGGGCCTTGTTCAATCAGTTTTTGGCCAATTTTACGCCGGAAAAAAGCGTGCTTACCACCCAGTGCTGGTGTTTTCCCAGATGTGGCACCTTTTTGGCTGTGGAAGGTGGAACTCGTTCCAGCATGCTGCATATGAAGATTCATGCTTGAGATGACTGCTGTTCGATTTTGCCGCTTCCCCAGTTGACTAACTGTCCATTTTACACCTGAGGCTGTGGCTTCTCAAATTTGGAACATATCAGCAAATGATCCGGTACTGGAAATGCTGAGAGCCCTGATGAAGCTTGTCAGACCCCCTCAGGACGTTCAGCGTTTCTCAGCTGCCCAGATGTCAAGTGCCTAGGTTCAAGCCTAGCCCGAAGCAAAATAAAAATTTGAACAAAATGGAAAATCATACTAGAATATATTCATCAATACAATGATCCTTTTTGTACACCCTAATACGATGGCAAGCCTGAACAATAGAGTCAATCACTGTGTTAAATGGAAAGTGTCAGGGCACGGGACATGCATTGATTTGTAGTGTTTCTGGTGTAGCTGAACCTGCCTGCCACATAGAGAATCTGCATCAGGAAACAGGACTTGGGCCCATAGTGCTCCAAAATGCTCCTGTAGCACTCTGTGGCATTATGGACCTAAGTCTTTTTCCTGATGTGTGCCATGGATTCATTCGGAAAGGTACAGAACCCAGCGTAGCCAGGCCACTGTTTCGTGAAATATTCTGAGCTGGACAGCCCGTTCTTCGTAATGAACCTGGTGTGTCTGATTGCCAGACTCCACAGGTATTCCACATGGTTACATTTCCAACACCATGTGTCCATACGGTGGAAACAACATGTATCTAATGTATCCAGGTCCTAATTTAATATGAAACACAGCACCAACTACCTAATTTGCCTGACTAATCCTGCTGACTAGTGTGTCGCCGTGTCTGACATGTCATGCCCTCGGTTGCGCCATGTTGCGCTCTCTCTCTATCCCTCCCGCTCCACTGATGCTTGTCTTCCTGAAAGCTGCTTTAGACAGTGTCCAACGACAGGCCTGCTGTATAGGTTCTGTGTCATATCTGTTAGATAGCAGGAGCATTCACAATGGAAGAAACAGCCATACGTGCCAACTGATCAACTTGGACCTTGGCCTACCAGTCTCGGACAGTAACCATGAGGGCGCTAGTGGCTAGTGTCACAATAGAGGTGTTAGTTGGCCTCCAGAGTGTCATATCATGCTCAGAGGGCCTTTAAAGCACGAAGATGTACCCAACCTCTGGACACTTCAATTTTGTGACAAATCCAATGTAACCAGTAGGACTCATATGGAATCACACGCAGCCAGCGAAGACGGGCAGGTGCCCAATTCGCAATATCGTGGCTAGAAATTGGATGCGGTGGATTTGTCATGTTTTGTACATAACCCAGAGAGCTCTACACAAGATTCTTCAGGCTCAAAATATTCAACATGTCCGAGCGAGCTACAAAAGATTTGTTGTCGGATTTGTCGAGCACGCTATGAATCAATGCAAATCTGGCCCCGGACAATTTCCCACAAAACGCAGTGAATGGACATACCTCCCACTAACCATTTGCCACTCGTATAACTTGTAACCAAGACCATATGGTGCCATGGATTCATTCCATTGCCACCAAGTTGTGCTGCAATAGTATGCTTTGTTCGGTGATTGAGGGGCAGAGACCACTTGGTGGGTTAAAAGAATGGTGCTATGGATGTAGTGGGCTAGCGAGGCTGACCTGACGGTACTGAGCACTACTAACAGCACTGAAATGATGAGCGGGCCAGTATTTGAGGAACACAATTGCGTGAGCTGACTCTAGATGCCCTGAGTATGACGCAGATCTGACGCGACCTGACAAGAGCAATGGATCAACTGAACGAAAGGGTTCCGGACCCTCTTGGGGACCCTTTGTCAGACCCTTAGACACCTGGTCGATGCGCAGACATTTAGATGCCAGAATTTGGCGGGGCACGGGCCACCGTACCACTGGTTTGGTAGCCCACCATTTGTCACCTGTATGTACACCTGCCGTTGTCCTTAGCACAG